AAAAGCAATGCTGATAATAATGAGAGAAATGAGAGCGAACAGAGAGAAGGAGAGAGCAGTGTGGTCTACATTTAGCTTGCTAAGGATAATAGCATGCGAGCTGGCTCCGGCAGACAGAGGAGAGAAAGAGGGGAGAGCGAGTGCAGAGCCGCAGTGACGCCATTGTGGTTCCGCAGTACTTCCTGTCTACCGCCACAGTGTTTGTGTGTCCTGTCTCCACGGCAACTGCCAACACATAAATACCAGAGAGGTAGGGGAGAGAGAGTAAAGGAAAGAAAAAATAAGGACAGTCAAAGTCAAGTGGATCATTTTAAAGCCTCTAAGCTGCCTGGTTTGAGTTTATGCTGGTCTTCTTTTGGGCTGAATGACCGAGTTATTGACTGGTTTCCAGTGACTTGGTCCAGCTTGGATGAGGTGTGTAAAAAGGGTGACCTCAAATGTCCTGGGAGTTGGTCATGGGTGGATAGGGGAAAAAAGAGCACCGGGAATTTGGGAGAAGGTAAAGAGGGATGAAATTTGAGAAGTTGATTCAGAAAAGTTGCCCTGTCTTTTCCAGCATGGTGCATAATACTGCTTGCAGGGTGGATAGCACTATCTAGCACCAGTTTAGCTCATGATAGAGAACACTTTTAAATTCAGTAAATGCCACACAAGTGAAATGACTTGTTATGCAGAATGGATCTTTTCACATTATTATAATATTATTATTTTACAAGAGCATTTTAGGATTGTAATTTATCGATGAGGACCACATTTAGATACTAAAAATATTGTGTGGATTAGTACTGTACTGCATTAAACTATATCAGCATGTCAGGTTTTTTCATATGCGCAATTAACCATGAGTGTTTAAATACATTTTTAAGTATAAAATAGCAATAAATTAAAATAATATTAGTTTTTAATGTATTTATTGTCAAAGCATTTAATATATTCATTGCTATCTGGATGTTAAGAGCATTCCATGGAATATACAATATATATGTATGAAATAAATTACATACCCCACCTTTAAGTAAATGTACCTCCACCAATGCCATCGCCCTTATACATGGTATTACCATTCAGCTGACTTGCATTAAAAAACTGCAAAATGTAAAAAGAGACAACGAAGGACTCCATGCTGATAAGTTTTGCCTCTCCGTGCAGAAACTGCTGCTGTCAATACGAAAGCCTTTCCAGCCAACGTGTCTGGTTAAATAAGTTTAACGTTCAAACCTCACAGATCAGCTGGCACCGACAGTAGCTATTTCTCTCGCTCTCCTACATTTTCTTTTTCTCTCGAAAACCATTTTCCACTGCTTGTTGCATAATTGGATCTGACTCACCATGACAACCAAATGGAAGTCGATGGAGTTTTTTTTCTGTTTTTGACTCCCAAACCCAGTGGCCCAGATTAGAGTCGCTTACTGTCGTCTGACTCACTGTCTAAGACGGTCAAGTCAGACACGTGAACACACACACACCACCCACACACACACACACACACACACACACACACACACACACACACACACACACACACACAGAGTACAAGCCGTTTGACACAAAAACCTTTTTTTACAAAAGCTTTGGGTCAAATAACTAAGAATATAATCATAAGATGACAAAAACAGATTTAATATACAATTTTTTTGGGAAAAAAACAACTCTCTTGGACGTCCAACCCAAAACCAGAGAGTGAAATATACAGCATGCTGAAAAAAAGTTGTTATGGTCACCTGTCTGCTACACAGCCACCATCAGACTCCCCCAAAGCATTTGTGGCGAGAGGCTTATTAAGCCCCTCCCCATAGGCCAACCAACTGTTGATCAAATTAATTAACTTAATTGTAATAAGCTACACATTTACACCCAGTTATCGTAAAATAATGAATCATCAGATTCTACTCATTTCTGATTATTAAACCCCCAAACAATGACGTTTTTTTTATAAGGAAATAGTGTTACCCATGCTTCCTGGTTAACATTGTACTTTTGAAATGAGTAAACCTGCAGCTATTTAAAGCAGCACTATTTTGATTATCTGTTTGAGACCCAGGAACACAATGACCAAATGGATTTATGATTGTTTGAATGACTGTCAGTGCTGTAATGCAAATAGCGACGACGTCTTCGTTACACATACACTATCAAAAATAACTGTGAGATTAAACATTGAAAGTCATGATTTAAAACTGTTTTTACAGTCAAAAACATAAAGGTCTGTACGTCAACCTTTAACGAGTAAAACAGGATATACAGTACAGTGTAGCAATATTCTCAATGAACCATTAACTAAAGACGACACATTCACCCACTGGAGCTCTAGATCTGCAGCTAACAGTGACCTTCAAGGTCAAAGTTGTAATGAATGACTTCTTTATTATACACACATGCTTACACAAACTGCACACACACTCACATTGCCATAGGTACACCTGCACGTTATCTTTTGAAAATGGACACATCAGTTGAAAGAGATACGCAGCTGGAGCATTTACAACCATGCTAACATATCACTACACTTTCCATAGTGTAGATATGTCTATAGTAGATAATATATATAGGCTAGTAGATAATGTTTAACAGAACCATAAAGAGTATGCCCTCAGGGTAAGAAGAAGCATAGCAGTCTCTTGCAGCATCAGTTTTTACTGCCAGCAGGAATGATTGCAGAGCATTGCGCTCCAGAGTTGCTCTCAGTTAACTGGCATTGGTAGAAAAGAAGCCAGAAATGGCTGCCTATCTACAGCTTCATACCACATTTATTTGGATCATATTTCATCCAGGCTGAAAGAGGTGGTATTGGTCAGAAATGAAAGTTGTTGAGTAGCTTTTGAGAGAATCTTTGCTACAGATGTGTGTCATCTCACTCATTACAGTACTGGTGTTGCGTGCGGATACGCTAATTGTCATCTTTGTGAGGCAAAATGAAAGGGAAGTGTGCACGGCACGCATTGAGGTTGAGACCACAGACCGGGGATGGAAACGTTTTTGGGGCTTTTTTTTTTTTTTTACCAGAGACGAGTTTATCACATACTACAGTGTCTTCAGAATTTTCAGAGCAAGACTCATTGTATTTTCATACAATGAGTCTTACAATGACCTAATTTGAACAGATAATCCGCGTTCATGCATTGATACAAATATACACACAAAGAGAAAAAAACACATGATGCAGATTGGGAAAGTTTTCAGCCACACCACAAGTAATCTTTGCTAACCAACAATCAAAAAGTTAAGGTATTCATTAGACTTCGTTCAAATCCGGCTGCTATGCAAAGTTGTAAATCCCCGCCGAAGAAAACATAGAAACTGAGGTCCATAAACAAAACATTATCCCATCTGAGGATAAACGATGTGCCGCGGTCATGTGTCTTACTGGCATAGTCATTTCACTAAGCTGTGTATGTGTTGCTAAGAGACACATGAGTGTGTATGTGATTGTGGAATGTGTGACGTCCGCTCCCTCGCAGGGGCGTGGTTGTCTGTGCCGCTCACACACACACACACACTTACAGACATGGCCACACACAAACACACAAACCCAAAGGCTTCAGGGAAAGAAGGGGAAGTCATAAAGCCTCTAATAGCCCCTCTCTGAAGCTCATGTTACTGTCTCTCTGTGAGGAAGGGTATAGTGTGTAGATGGAAGGGGGTCCTATTATTGACAGGTGCAGATCAAGCTTGGTTTGAACACAAACATCTCACACACACACATATACACACACACACACACATACACACTCAAAACTACAACAGCCTAACCCAGGTTTGAATCTGCAAAGACCTTGATGTTCATAAGTTTCAGATGTTTTCTAAGTGAAAACACAACAGGTAATCGTTGATTTAAAACAGTGGTGATGCATATATGATTATTTATATTCCCTATCAGTGAAACACATGGAAGAAGAATTGTCCTGGCTGTGACACCACAAAGAGTGTCACGCAAACTCAAATTTCATTCAATTACATTTTATCTGTTGAATCATACCCAGAGATTTCCCTCACTCATTTTCTTATTTGAAAAGCATCAGGCTTAAGTTATCTGGAACATTTGTGTATCTCTTTTTGCTTCGATAACTGAAACCCTGCACTTTTGCCCCAGTTTAAGTCCCTGTGGGTAAAAGCAGCTTAAAGTTTCACCAAAACAAGAGACAAAGTCACTTCTCACCAACTTTATCAAAAACATTCAGAATTGATAAGGTAACGATTTTATCACTATTTCAGCATGGTTGCGTATCTGTCAAAAAATCCTCAGCTTCAAAAGTCACAGTTTGGGTTTGACCTTATCTAAATCTTTGCCATCTTTCAATAGACTTCATAATGCTCAACTCAACAAAAACATGTATGACTTTTACCTTGGTTTTATATCCTGTGGGCCTTTTTTACGATCATTTGGTCTATGTAATTCTTTGAAAAGTTATTTTTACTATTAAAGGTTTTATATCATATCCTATTTTAACAAATACAAATATCCACATGCAAACACAAGTGTACACTATCGGAGCAAAACAAACCTCTGAAAACCAGTTTAATATAGAGAGCATGATCCGACATCTTACTACAAATACTATAAGACTTATTTGTATTAACATTGCCTGTAGGATAATAAGTTAACGTTCCCTTTGATATTGTCGGACAAAGACAGAACTCTTCACTTTCTTTGGCTTTTTGGGAACTTTCACGTCTCTTGACAACAACGTGTTACAACTGTTTGTCCACTAAACAATGCACATTTAGACCGTCTTCCTGCAAACAGCCTTTGCTCATTTATTAGCAGCTGCGCGGCCAATTATCTCCCTGCCCCCTTTCCTGTGTTCTAGCAGCAGCCTCAGCCATGCACAGGGGAGGAGAAGGGAGGAGAGGGGAGGAGAGGAGAGGCAGAGAGGAGACAAGAAAGGGGAGGGCTCCTCTTCTCTGACATCGTCATAAAGGAATCCCCTGCTCTGAGGCGGGCCCGCCCACTCTCTTACTCTCACCCTGTCTGGCTCCCAGATACACTCGCGTTCACACACACTCCTGTCTGCACAGTCGAAGGAGAAACAGACCCACGGGACGAGACGAGGAGTGGGGGGACACAGACAAACACTGAGAGAGAGAGCGTGGGGGGGGGGCGACAACTGTGAAGTTCGACTTCAGAGTGTGACCCTGGAGAGCATAAGGACAGTGACATTGAGACAGAGGAAACAAGTCAAAACTGTACTCTCAGGTAGGTGCAGCATCGTGTCTCCTTTCTCTCACAAGTTGACTGTTGCCTTTTTAGTGTTTTATGACTTTATGACTTGGCAAATCTGTACGCTTTTCTTTGACTTTGTGTGTGTGTGTGTGTGTGTGTGTGTGTGTGTGTGTGTGTGTGTGTGTGTGTGTGTGTGTGTGTGTGTGTGTGTGTGTGTGTCTTGAATCACTGGTCTTCCACAGAGGGGCACTTCACACTCACTTCACAGCAACTCCTGCAACCTGTTGATCGGTACAGATATTCACACGGAGCGACAGTAAAGTGGGCCTGCTGTTCAAATGCACTGTAATGTTGGCAGTGGAATATTGCCCTGATCTTAGGTATGCCACCGTGGACCGGCTCTATTACAAAGGTCAGCCCTAAATAGTTCCTTTGAATGGGATGGCTTAATTTTTGTCTGCCTGTCTTTCTGTCTGCCAGTCTGTCTGTTGGTCTGTTTGCTTTAGCGATGATAACTCCAACCGTCTGAATTAATAATTGCATAATGAGTTTGCCTCTACCTGTTTGTCTGCCTTCCTTTTCAACTGTCTGCTCACATTATGTATGTTATCCGTACGCCACATGCTTGTCACCCGTCTGTCTGCATGTCTGTCAGTCTGTGCGTCTCTCTGCGGGGTGTTGCTGGCAGAAGAGAGTGGGAACAGAGGTCATAATAAGTTCTCGAAAAGGAGCCGAGAGACGTAATGGTAGTGGTGAAGCGAGGCCAGAGCCGCTGGAACATTCCTCTCATTGTTCAGAGGCCCTGTAAGTCTGCGAGCTCCCAAACCTCCATGAAAGGAAGGGAATCCAGCGGCTACTGTAGCTAATCCAGTTTCAGCTAGGACCGGCTGTCTCCGTCTTCCTGTCCACTGTCCTGTCTGGTTCCCCTCTGGAAGTGATGAACAGGCAGTGGAAGGTGAAATGAAGCATTGACATGATGACACACACAAAAAAGTCAAGATAAGAATGACTTAATTTAGTCCAACACATGGATCTGTTGCTTCGCTCTATATGCAACTGAGTATGACTTAAGATAACCTCTGCGGCCAAAAAAGGATTGTTGGAAGTTTATCTGCCTTTTTACTGAGGGGAATCAATAGATTGGAACGCAGGAAAGGCTTAATGGATGATTGATTGGAGGAAAGAAGGAGTAGAAGGAGGAGGGAAGGTGGGGATCAAGGTTTTGAGGAAAGCCTTGGTTTTGGTGAGATGGGTGGGTGGGTGTGCCCGGCAGCAATCCTCAGAAATTGGCCCGGGCTCAGGAAACCGTGGCGTAGTGGAATAAAACTGTGTGTGTAGTTACTGCATCCATTTGAGCATGTGTGGTTCAGTGGCAGCAGGGCGGCTGTACTCTAAGTACAGGGCTGGTGGTGGTGAGGGTGTTTGGCTACGAATCAGGCCGAGGATAGGGTTACACGCATTGGGCTGCAGCGAGCGGACCACGAGCTTGGGCTGGGCTCTTCATTGCTGAGGCTAAAGCTTTACTTTTTTTTTTTGTTAAATTTGGAGCTGGAAGTACGGTTTTAATTCTCAGACTAATGTCCCACATGTGGTGTGTTCCATTGATTCCAGGCCAGCCAATGAGCGTTACCCTTGCAGCAGAGAGGTCCCATAGTTAGTAGAGCGCGAGTCCTTGTTTGAATGTCACTGAATGTCACGGCCTCAGCAATAATTACTCCCTCACACGCAACATGACACACATACAATCTTTCTCACAAGCGCACACATACCCAGACACACAGTCTGTCTGGCAGTTAGAGAGCCAGGGTGTGGTACTGTGAGGTGTGTGAGTTCAAAGAGCTATGTTTGAGTCATTGGGATGCGTTCTGTAATGCACTCTTTTTTTTACAGTTTTGCAGTTCTTTTGGTTGGGGTTAGGAAACTGAATTAGCAACAAGCAAGTTGCAGGAAGTGTTGTTACAGTTTCTGCTGTGTCAGGCATTGTTCCTCTTCATCCTCATCTCTTCACTATTTTGAATAGTGTTGTCTTCCTCTGCATTCATCAGGGCGAGTGTGTTTTATAGGTGTAATTGATATAACAGCAATGATGAAAAGCAAACATGGCTAATTTACCCTTTGAGCAAGGAATTCAGACTTTATTATAACCCTTGTGCTCAAGTGTTGACATAATGTCATGAACCATTAGATCGATTTCTCATGAGGTTGAGGTCGGAAACAAATCACACTCTGTAAAATTCTCTGATGCTACGGAAATATACAAACTATAAATATGCTTCAGTTTGATACATAATAATTAATGAAGTGCACAATGGCAGCGAACAGCCAGCCCACAAGTTGCCCTGCTCACTGTTTGCTCTGTGAAGCGCGTCACAGCCTGGAGGTGTGAATTATGTCAGATTGGTATGTATTTGTACTATTCCTGGTTGTAGCACAGAGTAAGAAGCCCGGTGAAAGCACATGCCATGTTTGCCTTGCGGCCCACTGTGATAACTGTGTTTGTTTGTTGATATTGAGAACATTATGTTCGGGGAGGCAGATTGTGCCTGGCCTTTGATATGTGTGCATTTCTGTGTGTGTGTGTGTGTGTGTGTGTGTGTGTGTGTGTGTGTGTGTGTGTGTGTGTGTGTGTGTGTGCGTGCAAAGGCATAGGGAGAGAGAAGATATGTGTTGAAACAACAAGGGGTTGAGATCCAGCTGTCTCAACAGAGGCTTTTCCACTTAACTGTGTGCCCTTGTGTAAACGGCAATGTCAATTCTGCGCTCTGTCAGAAGGGGAGAGACGGTTTGGAGAAAACAGCCCGTGGCCACGTCTACACAGCCTCCATAGGTTGTGTGCGCGAATATAAACTTAGTAGAACACACACTTAACGTTAAGTGTACACCCTGAAACCTTCAAAGCGCCCGCACACAAGGCTGTATGCCATGAAGACACTCTCTAAAAACATGTTCACTCAATCATTGCACATCTGCTGCCGGTCATCATCCAGTGACACTCATTTTCCTATACTATGCCTCCATTGGGATGCAACACGTTGGCACAAACTATGAGCTGCCAATAAGTCGCAGCCAGCATGGTAGCACTTTGTGATTGTTCCTAACCGTAATACACACCAAATCTGAGAAAGGTTTTAACAACAGGTTGCCACCGTAGCACTCAAAAAGAAAGACAGGCCAAATGCTAAAGTGAGACATGTTAGGATCCTCACAGCCAGCGCTTTGAGGTGAGGTGTTGGACAGCGTGCGTCAACCAGAGCGCCGTCATTACAGGGAAGGGAAGGAATGAGCTCATACACATTAACGGCTGCGGGTTCGACGGGGGGAACGCGAAGGGGAAGAGAGAAACCGATGGAAAAGATGAAAAGGCAGAGAAAATAGCACACGAGACGAGACACTGCCAGATGAAAGGGTGGTGGGATAGAGGGTTTTAGGTTGATGGAGGAGTGGAGTTAAAAAGGAGTTAGCGTACTGTCTTTGATGGGTGCTGGGACCCTAAACGACCTGCTTCTCTGAGATGGAACGTTTCATTATGAACATGTGAAGACTGACCATGGATATAATGCATGTTGCATAAGAGAAAACTCAAATTAAGATTACAGTTAGAAAAAAAAGGCAAGACAAGATGGGTTAAGATTAACTTTTAAGTAGATATTTTAGTTTTCTATGAGTAAATACCTTTGATACCTGGTTCTAAAGTAAGTTAGTGTCTCAGAAATGTTTTTTCCATAGTATTCTGTTTGAGAAAGACAATCACAAAGTTTAAATAGAGCTGATAGTGAGAGAAACCTCAAATCCTGTGTTTTCTGAGGTGTAGTAATTGGCCTTATTGGTTGATTTGACCCCATTGAAAGGAACATTGGCCTCTCAGACAGTGAAACAGCGTTAGCAATCATTTTCAAGTTCACTGCGTCCCTAGCACAGCCCTGCAGCAGCCCCACAGTGACAACAGACATCCGGATAAAACGTATTTAGAGTCTGGAGTTCCCCAAAAGCGTCCCACTGACTCACAACTTGTACATGCTGCTGAAAATAGAGAGACCTGAATAGGATGGCAGAATAGCTTTCAAAGTGGATTGGGAGCTTGGAATGTCATTCAATTATCAAAATATATCCAGACAGGTAAAATTGAAGGAAAAGGAATCCAGAGTAATAAGAGGTGCTGCTCCAGGGGGGGGTGAGTGTATGTACTTGTCTATATCAGGTGTCATTTGACAGGCAGTAATGATGCACATTAAAATATAAATACAATATCAGTTTTCTGTACTTAACATGAACATTCCACTCTTCTGAGAGATTTAGCATTAGCTTAGCAGCAGAGGAAACACGGCACAGTGCTCTCCGGACTTTTCTTTTTCCACACAAGGGGCACAGATAAAGAGCCAGAACAGAGCGGGGCAAACATATTTAAAGGGAGTGCCACTTCACTGGCCACTTCCTTCCAACCTAATTCTCCATTCTGTCATTGAAAAGCTATTTTTATAAGAGGCCACGGGAAGTCTGGGAGTTGACAAGAATTACGCACACACACAGGACTGAGAATGACTGTGACCCGTGAATGACAACGATAAAGATCTACTGTTATAATTCACTCTTTCACACAGAGGAGGGAAAGAACCTCTCACGATAAGTATTAGAGGCGACGAAGATGGGAGTTGTTTTTTATTTATTTTGTGCATTCTTTAAGTCCTCCTCACACCACAAATTGTAGTTGTCTCTGATGGCCAGGGGAATTCCTGGTAGAGTGATTTTTGAGACTACAGGACTGAATCACATTGCCAGGGATTTCCAATGGCTGACATGAAAAAAGCCATCTAATTCTCACAAACACGGACGCACACTAATTTGATAACTCGCACACAGTCCCGCCCGTGTTTCTAATTTGCATACACGCCCTTGTTGCTCTCTGCAAAAGCCAGATGCCAGTACGACCCGGCTTTGCGGCAGCAGGACTTAGCCCACATGTGAGCAGTGAGTGTCTGCCATGTTCACAGTGGTTAAGTTCTGCCGCCACAGGGCTGCAGCCTGCTGGAGGAGAGTAAAGGTCAGGGAGGGGCCGGACTGCATCAAACCACCACAATTTACATTAATTTACTTGTATATAGATATAGAGTGGATCCATCTGGTTGTTTTCATGGATATCAATTAAAATACCTAATTTAATCACTACATGAAACTAACACGAATAGTATATTTCTATCATGTTTTAACTACATTTGAGGTTGACTGTCCATTTTTAAGTCATTAAACTCTCTTCTACAATGATGTAATTGCACCTGGTTAAAGAATGAGAACCTATTTATTACCTCAATCCAGTGTTTTATTTAGTATCTGTTACTGAGAAAATATGGAATATATAAAATGCACTCTGCTGCCTTGTTCTTAATCTTAATCTGGGTTATAAAGATGTATAGATAAGTAATCCAGAGTTACATTACCAATTAACTTGTCATCTGTAATGTGTGACATTTCAAAAGAAACATTTCCGAATTTGCCAAACTACTAATTACAGTGGTCGAAATGGATGGAAAGTATAATAAGTTTACTTTCTTTTTATTTGAGCATTTGCTGGAAATTCAGTTAAAACTGCACTGAATGTGGATGGTAAATTGACTAAGTAGTGTAGCTCAGACAATTAGCATAAAGAAAACGGTAAATCGAAACACACTTCCTCTTTTAAAACAGTCTTGCAATAAAAAGGTAAAAACATGTTCCCTCTCAATTGAACAAAAATGCTATTAGACTCCCACCAAAAAAAGACCCCGATATCCTCATCATATCAGTCATAATAGTAAGTGTGTCGAGCATGTGTGGTGGAGTAGGTGTGTGCTCCAAATATGACTCGGTGTTGCAATGTGGTCAAGATAACTGTTGAGAAGCAGATATCACTATCCATGAGCTTCTGGTAATAACTGGTAATCTGCTGAACAAGCTGAAATTGTGTGGCATCAGCGTGTCAGTCCTTGCTAAATGTCAGCCATCTCATTAGAGTCGAAGACAGCTCCTGTCCCCGAAGGGCGAGCAACATGTCATCTCATGTCGTCATCTGCATTGCTGCCTGCCATGCTCTTTTAATGTGGGGGGGGGATTTGTGTTTGCATTAATTTTTTGTCTTGGCTTCCACGTGTTGATTTCTGCATGAGCATCAGTGTGTGTGTGTGTGTGTGTGTGTGTGTGTGTGTGTGTGTGTGTGTGTGTGTGTGTGTGTGTGTGTGTGTGTGTGACAAGTCACTTGTCCCCCCTGCTGGGTCAGTCTCCTGTGCCTGCTGTGCTGATAATCAGTGTGTGATGTCGGCTGGCTCAGTTCAGCAGGAACAGGAGACTGGTCTCTTTTCCACTCTCACACACTCACGCGCACGCACACACACACACACACACACACACAGGTCATTTTATTCCCACTATGTTGAATAATGACTGTAGCAATCCTCTGAATTTTGTGGCAACTGCATGTTTTACTAAATGCATTTCTAAACTATGAAATATTGGTTCACTTTATGCTAAAACCATTTGTCTCAATGTTTCCCTCGACAGATGTACACACTCACATTCTGTAATGAAACACGTTACTTGGAAATATGCCTGGCTTCTTATTGCATTTACAGATCATAAATGTCTTCACTTTTTATGAAACCTTATAAGCTACTTTGACCAAAAATGTATGTAAAAAGAAAGAAATATGTTCAAATGCATTCTTGTGATAAACTGTTTCTTAAAGGTGGGGTACGTAATTTTGGAGAAACCAGCTCGAGTGCGCTAGAATTTGAAAATACACAAAGGAAAAAATCTGCCTCTTCCTTCGGACTTCCTTACAGAGCCCCTCCTCCAACACACACGAACGCACACATGACCAATGAGGGCACAAGATAAGTTTGTGCACAGATGGAAGGCTGACAGGCAGGTAGGCCATCCAGTTATTTGAGCCGGGGCGGCTCAAATGATTGGTCGTGCTTTTTACAGTACTACGGCTTCCACAGATGACGTTTTTTTATGGATTTATTGTCAAAGCATTTAAGATATTCATTGCTATCGGGATGATAAGAGCATTCCATGGAATATAACAAAAAGTGTTTCTGAAATAAATTACATACCCCACCTTTAATAAGGTCTGATGAAAAATGTGTTTCACCGTTTTTGCTTTCTTTTGACTTATTTTTCAGGTTTCAAAGCTTCGTTTTTTTTGTCGGTTTTATGCCTGTTTGTGAAATAAATAAATAAACAAATAAAAAGTTGGACGGAGTTAAAGTTTCTTTACAAGTGCCTAACCTAGGAAATACAATTCTGTTTTTTATTCCAAATTAAGACCAGGACATTTCACTGTAGTTCCTCCACTCAGCTCAAATTCATCAGATTATTTGATGACTTTGTCCTCAGTTGAAATGAGTCAGTTAAGTCATTAAGTAAGTATGCTCTTGCACCAGGCTGCTTATGCTTGACCTTAATTGTCTTTATGATAACAAATCAATGTACACCATGTGTTGCTTTATTTTGGTCACAGTTCAGTTCAACATTAACTTTTAACCTCTTGTGAATTGCGTAAACCTCTTTTAAAACTTTTACCACACATTAGCTGGAAATCTTTCAGAGATGACTACAGAGGGAACAACACTAGAATATCTGCATTTCTACATAGCGACAATCTATTATTCATAGCTATGAGTGTGTCCATGTTGTGCCCATGCTAACCTCATTCCTTGAAATCTAAGTCTTGTAATGTCAGGAAATCTTAAGACCATAACTGCACAAACTGAATACCCATATTAATCATTTCCTCCAAAGACTTGGAGCTATGAAAAGCTGTTATCTGTCATTTACCTCCTCTGACATTACCTGCAATATACCATTATGCAACTGTTTCCACTTTTTGTAACACTCTGGAGACAAGGTTGATTTTAGTTGTATTTTGTGTGCACTTCCATGCCCCAGTTGCACGATATAAACTCTGCTTTCAATCTGACTTCTCATTTTGTTAATTCAACAAGCTGCCAGCAAACCTAAAACACATGAAAATTACTCAGGTTCCTATAACATGTCCAAATATTCAGTCACAATTGCTCTATTTTTAAGCATTATTTAGAGATGAAAATATAATTCAACAATAGTGCGGGTAATCAGATTTCAACCAAACTTGATTTTGTGCCTCTTGATTGCAAGTTTATGGATGTCAGTAAATCACCGAAAATATTAATAATTGAGTTTCGAATAAACAAACTGTGTGAAAGCCTCACATCAGTACTTGAACTGATTTTCTTAGCTGATGTCTTTAAAATGTAAATTATATATCATGTATATATAAGCAACTATAACATGAAATAAAAGATTATAAGTATTATTTGTATTCATCAAGCACATAAATACCCAAACGTTAAAGGAAACCTGTCACTTAAATCCTCTTTTTTCCGGTCTCCATGGTGATGAGTGATGATGCAATGTGGTTAAACTCAGTTATAAGAGATTCTGCATATCTGTTAATAAAATAACGTTAAAGGGGCCCTATTATGCTCATTGTCAGGTTTAACATTTGTATAGTGTGCATCTACATGTTTTTTACATGCTTTAATGTTCCAAAAGTGCTTGAATTTTCTCATACTGCCCTACAATGCATTGGGGCACAAGCCAATAGAAGCGTATGAAGTCACTTTGTTAAGGACGTAAAACAAAGGAAAACAATAGAGGATTTTAGCTTTTGTAGACAACGCACAAAAACCTACATAACACACTACAGGAACGGGAAAATCCCCAAAAGCATTATAGGGCAAAAAAAAGACATAAGCTAATTGTATCAACCATGTGAAATACTCATTATCAACTCTGTATATCTATTCTGTATTGCCCTTGCCTCATGTGAAAATGTATTGTTTTAACTTTCTTACCTACTGTTCTACCAAAGCAAATCTCGCCTTATCATCAATTCGAACTAATGTTTTATTTAAATGATTGGATCTATAATGGTGACATGGGAAGTGAGCAGACATCCGGATGTTTGCCCCTGATTGGGTTACTATAGCAACAGTGACACATCATCCGTCATCAGCCTCAGACAGCTGCGTCACAAGCGGTTCAACTGGCGACTTCCTGTTTCTGAGGAAAAAGTCACGTACCCTTTATCACTCGTCTTCTACTCATTCTTCCCTTTATCAAAGCCTTCTGTACATTTATTGCTCTATTGTTTTCCTTCTATATCGGAGGGTTTGTCTTTGTTTGTCGGCCAGCCACCCCTCTCTCTGCAAATGTCTTCCTCCCTCCCTACACCCACGCACCTGCATTGTCTCACCTGCCGCTCACCTCTTCAGGTTGGCCAATAGGCTTCGAAGGTGGGAGTTCCTATGGCAACATAACAGATAAACAAAGGTGGAGATAAGGAGCAGTTGTCACTCACTCACACACACAATTAACGCCATACGTTTGGTTTTAGAAGTGGGGGAAACAATGAATTAAAAAAAGATAAAAATGCATTAAGACATTCTTTTTTTTTTTGATATTCAGTTATTTATTATTAAAGATATTTGCATTAACTCTACTTGTAAAATATGCCCAATTCAAGTTGACAACTGCGGTTGTATCACAAAGAGGACTGTGGATTAGCTTTGAGGTTGAATTTAAGCATTCTTTACAGGTATACCAGATTTTAAGTAAAATAGCGAAAAACACACAAATATAGCACGGAGAAATGTAAATAAAAAACAAGTAAGGAAACATTGAATTCCATGGAAAATCCCTGCATATGCCTTTAAAGAGACAATTAACTTTGGAAATATAGCTAACGTTTATTTTAACCAAGTTTTCCTTCCTACTTTTGTATGCAGGTTACATCCTAAGCTTGCTGACATAAGTCCCTTATTGTTTACTCTTTCACTATAATTAACTATAACCAATTTGTTCCATATTGAGTAGTAAATTCAGATTTGTTACACTAGTCACCATTATTATTTGTCATTACTGACAGCTGTCGACATCTAGTGATTTTCTCATCTATACAATGTGGAAAATAACACATCACTTTTTAGGGCACTAATTAGAGGACACATATGCAAATCTTACTCAAATAAAACGGTGTACAATAATGAATCATTTCTGTCACAACCTTTCTCCAATAGGGTAGAGCAGCAAACTTCTAATTTCCCTATAGTTTCTGTGAGCATAAGGTAATAAATGAATGCTACACTTTTATCAGCACTTCTCTTCTGTTATCTGGAATATGCTGGCTGGACATTATGAGAACACTGATAAGAGGACACTGTTAAAAGGAACTTGTGTGAAAATGAACCTGAAACAATAAAAGTGAGCAGGAAAAAAACAGGATTTTGAAAAGTGATCCCCAGTGGAAATGATGGCCTTGTATAAACACTTATAAATATGCTAATGTGAACAAATCTATCCTCTGTGTATTAGCCTTCTTTTCCCTCCACTCCTCCCAGATCTACCCCACCCTGCAGCTGTGCAGCAATTCAACTATCCCTATGTATTTTCCTTCTTCTTTCCCCCTCCCTGTCTGACTCTTTGGTTCTCACCATTAAAGAAAAGAGCTGCAAATCTGGCCACAAAAGACGTAATTGCCATTATGAGTGCTGTGGCCCTGCACATCACACAGTGTACTGATTGTTCCATGGAGGAGGAAGGGGCAAAGACTGTCTCCTCTTTGCAGACGCCACACAATATTATTATAGCGTGACTGCAGCTCATCCACACGGGCACACACACACACACACACACACCTCTATCTCACTCTTTTCAGCCCTCTCAGTATCTCTGTAATCTTTCCATTAAGCACAGAGCAAACATAAGTTTCCATAGGGCTGAGAATCCATACAACACTGCCCTTTTAGAGAAATATTTTAACTGTCAAACCCTGGGTAAACACACACACACACACACACACACACACACACACACACACACACGTATACACACACTCTTGCACCGCCAAGAGGAAATGATAGAAGGGCTGAATGGAAAAGCAGTTTGTACCACGACAGGAACGCCCAAAGTGTGTGTGTGTGTGTGTGTGTGTGTGTGTGTGTGTGTGTGTGTGTGTGTGTGTCACATGTGGCTGAGGTTTTGGGAAAGTTGACCTTATCCCAGTTCCAATTCCACTTCTCCATCTCCATTTTGTTTCCAAATAAGAAAAGGTCACCATTCCCACAAAAAAAAAAACACTGACCATTTCAACAACTCCTCTGGGAAAAGAGAATACATTTTATTCACATTCGACACAATGACTACCCACATTTCCATTCCAAATCCTGCAAATATAACTGGGTTGTGGATTTAACTGTGGCTGTGTGTAAAGGATATGGGAGCAGTGATTAGCCAGAGGAAATATCCACTCCCACAATAGCAGCCTGATGTATTGTAATGGGAAATGGCTTTATCATTGTTACTACATTATGCGGTTGATTTCGCTGAAGAAGGCAGAAAGGGAAGTAGCTGAGAGGCCCACCTCCTGAGCGAGCTGTAGCCAGACATGCGGAAGTCGTGATGCTCTTATGAGCCCCTCGGGGGGGATTGGAAGATCTCATAAACGGCATTAAAGGAATACTTCGCCCCAAGATGATCTATTGTATATCAATGACTCATCCCAGAGCGAATGCTTGGAGAGAACAAACGTTTCTCTCACCATGAAAGAAGAATCCAAATATATTTGGAAAATGTCTGAGGAAATTGGTTGAGCCTACAACTGGATCCATCAGACTTGGATTATTGTAAATGAGTTGCGTGACAGTTTTGTAAACAAATGTTTTGCTGTGGTAAAACAAGGCCCTGAGTTTACTACAATTCATCAAGAATTGTCTCTGATTTTGGGTCCTCGGTTCATCGTGGAGACATGCGAGAGAAAAAACGTTTTTTTAAAGAATTCAAAGTAACATGAGTTAATTAAATAAAAATGATCACTTTTTTACCATGACCTTAATAATAAACATTGTTCAATTTATGGGTTTTCCAAAACCCCATAAACTGAACAATTGAAAGGTATACAATCTATGGCAGAGCTTATCAAGTGGCATAGTGTTTCTCTTTCATTTCAAATGCAACAGATAAGCTGCAAACTTTATACTCCAAATAAAATGTTTAGCCAGAAATCAGAAGCCACATACAACTTGTTTGCTCTGTTAATGTCATGTGTAATGAAGTATCACATGATGGACCCCTTGTGGCCTTCTTAAACAGACAAAGTGCACAAAGAATTTTAAAAATGAGACTGAAATATTTATTTATGATTTATTAAAGT